GCTAGTACAAACACATATATATATATATATGCATATATATATATGTGAATCATAACTATGCGGAGCGAGTAAAAACGGGAAGGGAGAGTAGGAGGGGGGAGCGAAGGGAATATTAGGAAGTAGCAGGCACACGCCATCGACTAAGGCAGCGTGACAGACATTGGCTTAAAAAAATCAGAGCGGCGCTAAGAAAGCTTTTTGAGTGCTCATATCTCTCAAACGTACCAAGCTCAGGCAGCCTGATTCACGGTTTCCGGTCCATCGACTGTACACACTCAAAAAAAAGATAAGACAAAAAACATGTTCTGCAGGAAAGAAGCTGAAGTCTGTGTACAGACAATACGAAAAAAATCAGGAACTGGGAAGAGGCTGCGAAAGTACAAGCCACAAGTGCCGTAACCGATGGATTAGACACATTCCCAGGATTACAAAGACCGTCTGCACAATCGATGTCTGTATCCCACGTTAGTGATGTTACTGATGAGATGCTCCGAAATCCGGTGCACAGCTTTGCTAGATCTTTCGATCCTAAGCTGCATATCTCCAGTCGACACAATGCAAATACGAATTTAGTAAATTTTGCATCAAATAATTTCTAATTCTACATTTTTAACTTCAAAGTAACAGCAAGAGATGACCAACGAGATGGGCGAGTGAATTCCGGCACATTTCCTAGAAAAAGTCTGATACAGCAAAATTTTTCTGAAACACCTGAGAAGTGAAAGAGGAAGGATGAAATGTTCTTGGCCACTCATGAGTTCCCTGGAACTGCGTCCAGCACGTTGAATGAGGGAAATGCGCATGACTTATATACTGCCTTGAGATGCACTTCTAGACGAAAACATGCGTAGATTTTGGGAGATATTTTTTTTTTTTGTTTCCAGGCTCGATTTCTTTCAAGCGACTGTTAGCATTTTGCGCCTGAGAATTCTATGGCCAGCAAGTTTTATTTGCTCAACTGCAAGTTTTATTTTTGGCAGGTCAGTGTTATTTTGAAAGTAGCATCCCCCGAAGTCTCT